ACAGAATTCTCTAAGCAAATATATTTGTTCAGAAAAATAATTTCATAATGTGTTACAGCTAATGCTTTTGGAAGCATAAAGTATGCTTTAAAAACTTTTAATTTCTAGAAACTGATTTTGAAACAAAATTTTGTAATCTAATTTTAGATTGTGAATTTTTTAGTGCAATAAGGGCTTTTAGCATTTAAATGGTGTTTGACAATAATCACATTCTGTTTTAATTTGTTTTCTAAATTCAAACCTTCCTATGTGTGTGTGCTTTTTTTAAACAAAAGACTTTGTTTGTACCTGTTCTAAAAGCCTAAAGCATTAAATAAATTATAAGTAGATTTGCTTTATCGTTCTAGTTAAATACAAATTCTGTAATAATTTGTTTTAGCACATGCTGTTCAACATCATCATAGAAATTTTTTGAATTTAAATTAATGAACATGTTATAAATTACATGTCACTATATGACATTTGTTTCCAAATTATATACCATAAAAGCACTCAAGTAATAAAACATAACTAGGCTGAATTGGATAAAGCATGCTTTTAAAATTTTATAAAAATACTTATTTTCATACCTGTGTGCTCTAGTATTAGGGTGTGTCTCTCAGGTAACTACATTCCATTTTATTCTAAAACAGTCATGAAATAGGCTCCCAGAACTCCACAGTATTAAAATTAGAAAATAAATAAAATTCTTTTGATCCTATTTGGCTTATTTTTAGTTGCTGCAACAAATTACATCAAGCACTCATTCAAATAACAGGAAAACTAAAAATGCAAAGTTTCAGGACTTTAAAAGAATAGTTCACAATTCATTTAACAATAACTGATCTATTCTGACAATTAAAAACCAACCAACCAGATGGGTAATGGCACTCAACACTGAACTGTATTCAAAGTTGGATGGGGCCAGGTGTAGTGGCTCAAGCCTGTAATTCCAGCACTTTGGGGGGCCGAGACGGGCAGATCACGTGAGGTCAGGAGTTCGAGACCAGCGTGGCCAAGGTGAAACCTCATCTCTCCAAAAAAAAAAAATACAAAAATTAGCTGGGTGTGGTGGTGTATGCCTGTGATCCCAGCTACTCAGAAGGCTGAGGCAGGAGAATCGCTTGAATCTGGGAGGTGGAGACTGTAGGGAGCTGAGATCCCATCACTACACTCCAGCCTAGGTGACAAAGTGGGACTCCATTTCCAAAACATAATAATAAAATAACATAAAGTTGGATGGACCTTTGCAAGGCTCCTTATTTTACAGATGAAGAAAAAGAAATTTAGAAACCTTAAGTGACTTGCCCAAGGTCACATTTGAACACAGGTCTTCTAAATAACAGAGGCCTTCTGATGACTGTATAATGCTACATGTTTGTAGCATTAAAATTGTAATGTATTATTGTTCCTCTCACTTCTATCCTAATACTCTTTCCACTCTGCCTTGCTCTTTTAATAGCTATTCTAGTACTGGCAATGGGTAACCCACTAATACTGTAGGTATCTAAACTTAGAAACCAAAACTATTCTCAGGAGGCAAAATAATATGTCCTTTACTATTTCTGTTATCTTTACTTTTGATTACAGCTAAGATTTCCTTCTGAGTTGGCTGTTATTGACAGGCAGTGACTCAGCTTATGAAACAACTGACTTGTTTATAGGCTACGAACATTCTACTCATTATTGCTAAATCAAGGGAGCTTGTTTATATTATGTTACCATGCATTTTATTTAAAAGCATGGATAATAATAATTCTTAAGAATATATTCTTTTAATACTCTGAACATGAAATTATACATCTGAAAAAAATGTTAATGTTACTTAACACTTTTTAAACATTGTTTATTTCCTATTAGAGTGGCCTATAGTACAAGAAAAACAGACTGCAGAGTCAAAAGATCTAAACTAGAATCCTTAGGTCAAAGTGGCTACTTTTCATCTAGCTGTGTAATCCTACACAAATCACTTAACTTATCTCTCACTCTCTGGGTCCTAAAAGTAAATATAAAATATATCCTCCACACAGTTTTTCTTTTTCTATTGCCCAGGCTGGAATGCAGTGGTGTGATCTCGGCTCACTGCAGCCTCCACCTCCTGTGTTCGAGCAATTCTCCTGACTCAGCCGCCTGAGCAGCTGGAATTACAGGTGCATGCCACCACTCCCAGATAATTTTTGTATTTTTAGTAGAGATAGTATTTTGCCCTGCTGGCCAGGCTCGTGTCGAACTCCTGACCTCAAATGTTTGCCTGCCTTGGCCTCCCAAAGTGCTGGGATTACAGATGTGAGCCACCATGCTCAGCCATCTACGTAGTTTTTCTATCAAAGGGAAGAACTTCTTGCAAATGCTCTATATAGTCATACTATACAAAAGTAAGGTATTATCATAGAACTATCAGTTACTATCCTTAAAATATATGTAAGAAATATGCAATTCTTGTATATAATGAAATTTATATACAAAAATTTTAATATTTAAATTTTCAAAAGAGTATCTTTTGGGGGTACAGGTTAAGAGGAATTTCATCAGCTTAGGAAAATCTGCAAAGATCTTTTGTTTTCTGAATGCCTAGGCTTCTCGTTAATGTTTAAAAACCTGCATGGAAAGAAAAACTTACGTAGATACACAATTTAGAGACATACCTGATACTTTATGTGGTATTATTCCTTCATTTAACGAAAGAAGAAGAGAAAGAAAAACCAGGAAGGTTAAACAACTAAGGTAAAGTCAAACAACTGAGTTTTCTGATTTCCAAACTACTGTCCTTTCTACCAGGCCAGTTACTATGCAAATCCCTTTCTCAAAGAGCCTAACAAAACTCTAACTAGCATCACGTTAACATTATTACCAGTTTTCCCTATATAAATTACAAACTCTTTGAGGATAAATACTCTTTTTATTCATTTCCCTCCTATTAGTACCTGGCAAAACCTTAAATATATAATACATAAAGGATGCTGAATTAAGCTTAATAAAATCCAGTATTAAGAACATGAAAAGATGCTCTACATTATCAGTCATTAGGAAAATGCAAATGAAAAGCACAAACAGATACCACCAGTGCATACTTATTAAAATGGTTAAAAAAGCAAAACTAAACTTAAAAAAAAAAAACCCTAAAATTGCTAAGTAATAACAGAGATGCAGAACAACCAGAATTGTCTAGAATGCACAACGGTACAGCCATTTCAGAAAAGAGTTTGACAGTTTTTTACAAAGTTAAACATACACTTACCATATGAAGACATATGTCCACCCAAAAACTAGTATACGAATATTTATAGTAGCTTTATTCAGAATCACCAAAAACTGTAAATAACCCAAATGTCTATCAGCTGGTAAATGGATAAACAAACCGTGGCATTCAGCAACAAAAAGAAATAGACTACTGATAGAAGCAACAACATAAATGACTCTCGAATGCTTTATGCTAGGTGAAAAATTCCCACCCAAAAAGCTACCATACTATATGATTACATGTACATGACATTCTGGAAAAGGAAAAATATGAGGACAGAAAACAGATCAGTGGTTGCCACAGCCTGGAGGTAGGGGAAGGGAATTGATTACAAGAGACAACTGAGAACTTTTCTGAGATGGCACATATATTCTACATCAGGACTTATAGTAGTGGGTGTACAACTCTATGTCAAAACTTGTAAAACTATATACCTTAAAAGGATAAATTTTTCTGTATGTAAATAATACCTCAGTAACACTGATTAAAAAAAAAAAAAAAAAAAGGTCTCACTGATGCCCTTTCATTATCTGAAACCCTAAGTAATTTACTGAGTTTCCATGGCCTTAATAGTTTTTCTCACTTAAAAAATGGAGGGGCTATAACATTAGTATTTAACTGTTACCACTGGAGGGTGCCCAGGTTTTTGGTGTTTTGAACAAAGAATTGGACAAAACAAACAAACAAAGCAAGAAAGAACGAAGCAACTAGAGCAGAGATTTTTTGAAAACGAAAGTACACTCTACAGGGTGGGAGGTACACCAGCAGCAGCTCAAGGTCCTGGATAAAGTATCTTCTTGGGTCCAAATATCCCCTAAAGGTTTCTTCCCATTGGCCACTTGGTATTCAACTCATGTAAATGAAGTGGTGCCCAATCAGAGTCTGAAGTGAAGTTAGAAAGGTCACACTCCTATACAAACATCTAATTGGTTGTGGAAAGCAACCAATCAGAGGCAAAGTGAAGTTACAAAGCTGCCTTCTACGCAAATGAGGATTTGGCTCACAGTCTGTTTGCCCAAGCCAACCAGAGGCTGAAGTGAAGTTACAAAGTTACACTCCTATGCAAACGTGTGATTGGTTGCTTTCTGCAACTAACCTTACCATATGCCAGGTAGAAAAGGTAGAGGTCTGCAAAGGAAGTAGCCTCTGGCTCTTTAGTTAGTTAGGCATGGAAAGTGAAGGTTTTCCTTTCAGTTTAGTTCCAAGAAGTCATTGTGAAACGGCCTTATGTTCCCTGACTCCAGACCCTATTCTCCTGCCTCATAACTACTACCTCCCTTCCAGTGTTAAAATCATATTACTCAATTGTAGAAACATTTTTGTGTCATGTCTATTTTTCTTAGAACTCTTAAAATTATATTTGTGTTGTGTTAATGGTAAATAAAGTTAAAAAAGTATTTCAAGTCATATGCATTTAAAATGTCAAAATTAAAGCAATATTTTTCAGATATCTTCTAATAAAGTGTGGTTGTTAGATATATAATTTTTTCACCAATTCTCATTTGTTAGTACAAAGTACTACAGACATAAAATAATAGAATATATAAACTGGTGTAAACTTAAAGGTAGTACAGGTAAAATACCTAATCACATAACAGGACAGATACTGTAAAATGAAGAAAATGTATATAAATTCATTCATAGCTTATTTATATTTACTAAAGCAACATGTTGCATCTTTTAGGAGATGAGTCATACAAAAATTCTACTTATTAATGCAACCTGGAACTAGGTTTGTAATCCAGAGCTTCTCTTGATTAAATGTTTTGTTTTTATTAAATAAATATTATTTGGAGCACTGTGGATATCCTTAGGAAGATTTCATTAATTCTCAAATTAAAGACATTCCTTACGGTGTTCTCAGTTACTGCAATGTGACTGCCACCCACAGTCATGACTGCCTAGCACAGTGCCACCTTTAGCTTGCAGAGCTTCAGTCAAGACGGGAAGTAAATAGGGACGTTCTCTACACTGCAGTTCCTACCAAGCCAAATGCCCACAGAAAAGCCAGTGGTAAAGCATGCAGGAAGCAACTAGCTACAAAAGCCACTCACAAGAATGTGTTGTATACTAGAAAAGTTAAGAAACCACATCATTATAAGCCTTGTACTGTGGCTCTCGGTGAATATCAGAAGTTATCAAACGTACATGGAACTTCTCACTTGGCAACTTCCCTTCCAGCATCAGTTGAGAGAACTTCAAAACAAATCTACACTCCCAGAGTGCAGTCCCTGACATTTTTCTAAAGAGAAGTGAGGCCTACCTGGCTAGCCTATTTGAAGACTCTACCAATCCTTGTGTTATTCGTATCAAACATGTAACAATTATGCCAAAGGACATCCTGCCAAAAAGACCCTATGTACAGAAAACGTGCTAAGATGTATTATGAAAGGAAACATTTTATTCTTAAAAAACAAAAAAATACCTAATTATATGACTGCAAATGGGGAAAAAAATGGATGAGACAATAAGGTATTAGCAAGTTTTCTGCCCATTTTGATCTGCACGTAAATTTTTAGTATTGATGTTAGGGACAAAAAACATTCATGCAAGTAAAAAAATGTTTCCATGAATAAGTTTCAGCAACTAAACTTTATAACAATTATTTTTAAAAAAATCTGTTGACTTTTTCTGAGGAAAAAAAAATATTTCTTGCCCCCTAATGTCTACACAGTAAAAATCTAAACTCTTTCTAGGCACACAAAGTCTTTGAAATTTTTAGACACAACCTGCCAGAACCAGACGCCCCATGCATCTACACTAAATTTTTTGCCACTTTCTAAAATGCACTGCAAACACTCGTTTTGAACACTCTTCCTCGTTCTCTACATAATAATCAAGTCAGCCTTTCTGATTACATGCTCACCAAACCCCTCAAGAAAGCTGGCTGCTCCTTCTCTATGGTTCCACTTTATTTCCACATTATTCATTTGTCTGGTCACCTGTTTGTCTCTTCCATTAGACTACACTAGGATCTAGAACTAGGCCAGATTCCTTATTAATCTTCGAATCCCTCGTAGTAGTTCTTGACAGCTACTAACTTAACGTTTAACTGAATGAATTCCAGAAAATCAGGAGTCATGGAAATCGATACTAAAAAAAAAAAAAAAAAAAAAAAACCTAAAGCGCAGTTATGACTAAATACAAGTAAGTATTTAAAACAATAAAGGTATTTATAGTAAACAAGAATGCTTTGGTTATACTAAAAAATTTCACTGAGGTTGTAAATGAGGTTCATGATTTTCCTTAAGTTAAACCTATAATCTTACCAAAGGTATCAGATTAACATCTTTATTTTTTCTGAATTATGTCATTTAGCCTTTAATTTTTCTCTCCTAGAAAGTAACTTTAATATAAGCCTATTACACTAATATTTGAAAAATTTTAGTGTAGAAGCAGTTCACTACACAGCGTCAAATCTAAAGCATCATCACATTACCACTGACAGCAACAGTCTCTTCCATCCATGTCAACTAGTTCTACACCAGAGCTACAGAAAATCAGAATTATCAAACACACCAAAATCTCTCAGAAACCATGACTTAACATGGATCCTGCTTTAAAATAACATTTCACACTGAATCCTAATAAACAAGAAATGTATTAATCTAGTGAATTATTTTGACAATCACCTATATAAACCAAACTAATTTTTCTCAGGACCTCATTGGCTTAACTCAAAATTCCTTTAATACTTTCATTTTGTTATGTGTTTCAATTTTCAAAGCTGTAACAATAGGTCTTACTTGATCATGTAAGAGAGCCTATCAAATCTAACAATCATTTAGGATTAGTACTATACACATTAAAGTGTGTAGCTGACAGGCTGTAATCAGAACTATAACTTCAAATGACTTGCATAACTAAAATATAATTTCGTTTTCATTTAATGCACAAATATTTATTGAGCAACAAAAATGCACTGCACATTGTGATAGACCCTGGGGAAGATATAAAAATGAAGGTAATAATAGTAATCATGGTAGTAACAGAAGGTGGTAATTGCTAACATCTATTGATACCTTATTACATGCATGACACATTACATATATTAATTCATTTAATCTTCCCAACAATGCTAGGAGGTAGTTAGAATTACCCTTAATTAACTAAGGTACTGACAGGTTAAGGAATTTGCCCAATGTCAGACAGTTGGTATTTGAACCTAGGGACTCCAGCTGTGGTGTCCTGACTCTGAGGAACCTCCAATCTAACAGAAGGTATTGCCTGAAATAACAAATAACTTATAATAAAGAAGCAGAATTTTTCAAATGCCAAAGGTGCTGCAGGATTTTAGAGTTAAGAATATGCAATCAGGTTGAGAGAGGAGATTTTTCAGGCTGGATTTTGCTGGTTGGATAGGATTTTAAGAGCATGTTTTAAAGAACATCAAAACTTGAGACATCTATGTCAGCAATTTTTATAAAAACAGCAATCTCTCAAAAGCAGATTATATCAATAACAGTTTTGCATAAATTAAAACATCCATAGACATGGATGCCTTATGTATGCATGTTTCAGTTTAGTTTCAATAAATGAAAAAAGAGGGCAATTACTTCCACACCTAGGGACAAAGTAAATGGAAGTATGTAGTAGGGTAGAGAGGACACATACATTTACTCACACTACACCTACATCTATTCCTTCTTACACTACACCAGAAAAACCAGGTTCAGGAAAAAAACATATTCTTTAAGAATGTTGATGTGAAAGATCACATCATTTTTTGTCGATCATCTGCCATCACTGCCAAGCGCAATCATTTTGTCAAAGACATTTTCACAACGGAGAATGTCTGTCTGTGATTTTAAGCCACCAATACCTGGGAAGAACACTTAAAAATCTGTGTCATAACCCTCATAATGGAATATGCCTCTGCATATCATGTCACCTAAACATGCTGCCTAAACTCAAGGAAGTCCTTAGCACCAAGGAATTTGTTTTAAAAGTGGATGTCTTTTGGAAATTTAATTTACAATAGATATTTAAATATATACTTAATGTTTTTTACAACCCTTGTTTTTGATACGATCTTTTCTAACTTGGGCTACCACCATACCCTACTATTCTGGAGATGCAGGAACTCCTCTTTTCCATTTGGGAAAAAAAAAAAAATTACAGTATCTGGGCAGTAAGACACAAAAAATTTATATGGCTAATCCATAAAAGGGAAAATAGAAGAGATGCAGGAATCCTAACTACTCAAACAGTCATTTTCATGTAAAACCAAAGTCTACCCACTTAAAACTCCTTAAAAACTGTAGGACAAAACCAAATACTTCATAGTATTCACTCAGGGCAAGGGCACAGAAGCGACACATGAACATATAATAGCACATTTGGGGAATGGCAACTAATGTAGTGAAATGTGGTTTGAACAAAACTGGCTTGAGGCATGAGACAAAAACATTAAAAATCTCTAGTTAAAGAAGATAGACTGAATATAAGGATTTAGCTCTAATGCCTCCCAGTGAAGAAATTTTGGAAAGATTATTAACCCCAAAGAAACAGAAACACACTTTTAAAAGCTAGAAAACAGAATAAGTGGCAATGACAATTACATCTGGGAAGGCTGAATTCCACGTTAGCCAAGAGGAAAACCAAAAACACCTAGTTTATATCACGTTGACATTTAGTACACCAAAGACCTCAAAACTCCTTGGAGAAGTAGTTGATTCCAGGGTTGGGGCAAGGAAAACATAAGATGGGCTGAAGCATTATGTGGTGTCAGAAAGTAAGGAAGTGAGTGCTCAAAAAGCAAGGATGAGGACAGAAGCCAACCAGAACGAGCACTCCCTGGCCAAAACTGGAACAGTTTGATCAACAAAATAAATGATACAGAATTGGATTATAATCCAAAGAATAAATATCCATAAATTCATACTCATATAAATTAGTAAATAAATGGGAGGGAGGGACAAATTCTCCTCACAGAATTCCAATTAATAAATGTAGAAATAATGAGAGAAATAGAAAATCACTACTATTAAGCCATAGTAATAACTGCTGCAGACAAGACCACAGATGGACGATAAAATTAGTGGGCAGAAATTTAGGGGGAACAGGATACCTCCATGGTCTCAAAGACTTTGATTTTTAAAAGCTATTTTCTTTATTTTTAAAGTTTTACCTGCCTGGTTGAGTGACTTTAAATCAAAGCATTTAACAATTATTAAAGAGAAAAACAGTAAATTCACAGTGGAGAAACCTAGCAGACACCCCCTTACCCAAGTGATCAAGGTTATCACCAGTAGTACCTATCAGCATCATGGCACCCCCCACATAATGCACTGAGAGAAACACATCCCATCTAGTGATCTCCTTCTTTTTAATTCATAACCTCAATCTATGCATGAGAGAGCATCCACAAACCCAAATGGAGAGCCATTCCATGAAATAACTGACCAGTCCTCTTCAAAAGTGTCAAGATCATGAAAAAGAAGATTGAAAAATTATCACAGATAAAAGGAAACTAAGGAGATACAACTAAATGCAATGTGGCATCCACAATTTGGATCTTGAAATAAAAATCTTGAGTGGGAAAACTGGTAAAATCTGAATAAATTCTGTAGTATAGTTAATATTATACTAAGGTTAATTTCTTCTGATCATTGTTCTATGGTTACATAAGACGTTAAGATAAAAAGAAGCTGAGTGAAGGGTATACGGAATTTATACTCTTTCTGCAATTCTTGTGTAAACACATTAAAATAAACAAACAAAAAAATAAACTAAGGGGCTCAGGAACTGGAAGTCTCAGACACTCTGGGAGTGACAGCGGAATCCAAACTAGACTTCCTATTCTACCTTCAACCCCTTCTGACAAAAGAGTAAACAATCTCTGGAAAGCATATAACAGCATATATCTAGACTAGAGGACAACATGTTCAATTGAATTTGAAGAGTGCCATAATGAAAACTGGGTAATTAGCTTAATCTGCATGCTTAAAGATGAAACCCATGTCCCCTTTTCCTACTCAGCTCTCAAGCTTGTTCTCTCCTGGCAAAAGATGAGAAATTTTTTCTGGGAAAACAATCCAGCACAAGAGAAAAGATGTGTCACTGGATGACCTGGTCTAAATGCCTATGTTTCCCCACCCCAAAATTCACATGTTCAACCCTACTTACAATATGATGATATTAGGAAGTCGGGTCTTTGTCTGGTGACTGGAGCAAGAGGGCAGAGCCCTCATAAATGAGATTAGCGCCCTTATAAAAGAGGCCCTAGAGAGCTGCTATGTCTCCTTCCACCATGTGAGAACACAGTAAGATGGTGCTGCACTGTGAACCAGGAAGCAGGCCTTCGCCAGACACCAAACCTGCCAGAACCTTTACCCTGGACTTCCCAGCCTCACAGTAACCGTCAGAAATAAATTTCTGTGGATTATAAACCACCCAGTTTATGGTATTTTGCTATAGCAGCCCAAATAGACTAAGACTGGCAGTCTGCAAGGAAATTATCCAGATTTACCCAGAAAACCATAATCACCGAAAAGGAGAGCTTCCATTCAGCTTAAGGCCTGTCTCTTAAATAAGCGCAGACTTCCAAGGATCATAAGATATCTAAGGAAAGCAACAAATATGAAAGATAAAGACCAAAGCAAACAAACAGAAAAAGGAAATTTGGAAGAAAGAAAGAATATGCAGATTTTAAAAAACCACCAGTATTTCCTGAGAGAAGACTGTATCCATAAAACAAATACAGGATATTATTTTTCAGAAAAAGGAGTGGAAACTGCACATATTATAGCAGAAATAAGGACTTAGGAGAAGAACTGCAAGACAAAGTTGAGAAAAATCTCCCAGAAAGCAAAGAAAAAAAATGGAAAGAAATGGAAAATAGACTAAAATGGACAAGAAAATGAGAGAAATCCATCAGCAGGCCCAATATCTAACAATACGAATTCAAAAGATTGAGGAGAGAAAAAATAAAAGAGAGGAAATCAAAGAAATTAAGGAAAACTTCCAGAATTTATGAGATAAATTCCAGATTAAACAGGAGTAGCAAAACGGATTTTTTACATATCTAACTATATAATACAAGAATTTCAGAACCCTGGGGACAAAGATTCTCTCTAGCTTGCAAAAAGAAAAAAAGAAACTTCCAAAATAGTTGAAAAGGATCGTCTAAGCATCTGATCTCAACATCAACACAGAAAAATGGAAAAGTAGAGCAACGCCTTCAAAATTCTGAGAAAAAATTATTTCTGACTCATAGTTCTCTGCCCAGCCAAACTATCCATAAAAAAAGAGGGGAGAAAAAACATTTACAGTCATGTATAGTCCTGAAAAAGTTTTATTCCATCCAGAAAACTATTCAAAGTGGCCCTTCGAAATGAGAAAGTAAACAAAGGCAGCCAAAGATACCAGACACACACAGAAAGAGGGGCTCCAAAACAAGAGAGAACTAAGAGAATCATTAGGATGACAGTACAGCAAGTCCAAGACAATAGCTGCACAAAAGTTCTAGGTTTAACAAGGTTAAATTGGAGCAGGTCAGAAGGCCCTGAAAAAGAGCTTCTTACGAAGTCAAAGTTGGTAGGTCTGAAGATAGCCATTTATACACTTAATCAGGGTTTCTCAAAAACAGCCCTATAGGTATTGTGGGCTTTGCAATTCTTTGTTATGGGAGGCTGTCTTGGGCAGTGCAGAGTATTTGGCAGCATACCTGGCTTCTACCCACTAGATGTCAGTAGCACACATTCGCACTCTCCTCCACTCCCCCAACATTGCAAAATGTCCTCTGGTGAGAAAATGGCCCCCAACTAGTAACCACCTGGCTAATTTAATAAGTATACAGAAAACTAAGCAAAGCAAAATTGTTAAAAATTACTAACTCTGCCTGTAATCCCAGTACTTTGGAAGGCTGCGACGGGCAGATTTCCTGAGCTCAGGAGTTCGTGACCAGCCTGGGCAACATGGTGAAATCCCGTCTCTACGAAAAAACAAAAAATTAGCTGGGCGTGGCGGCGGGCGCCTATAGTCCTATCTACTAGGGAGGCCGAGACAGGAGAACTGCTTGAACATGGGAGGCGGAGGTTGCGGTGAGCCGAGATCGCGCCACTGCACACCAGCCTGGGCGAAAGAGTGAGACTCCGTCTCAAAAGAAAATAAAAAATTACTAACTCTGGCCTGGCTAACACGGTGAAACCCGTTTCTACTAAAAATACAAAAAATTAGCTGGGCGCAGATAGTGCCTGTCTGTAATTCCCGATACTCCCGAGGCTGAGGCAGGAAAATCAACCCGGAAGAGGGAGGTTGCAGTGAGCTGACGTGGCGCCACTGCACGCCAGCCTGGGCGACGGAGCAAGATTCCGTCTCGGAAGAAAAAAAAATTACTAACTCTGACCTGGCTAACACAGTGAAACTCCGCTTCTACTAAAAATACAAAAAATTAGCTGGGCGTGGTGGTGCAGGTCTACTCGCAGGGTGTAATGCCCGCTACTCGGGAGGCTGAGGCAGGAGAATCGAAACCGAAAGATGGAGGTTTCAGTGAGCCAAGATGGCGCCCCTGCATTCCAGCCTGGGCAACAGAGCGAGTCCATCTCAAAAGAAAAAAAAATTACTAACTCTGGCCTGGCTAACATGGTGAAACCCCGTTTCTACTAAAAATACAAAAAATTAGCCGGGCGTGGTGGCGTGCGCCTGTAATCCCAGCTACTCAGGAGGCTGAGGCAGGAAAATCACTTGAACCTGGAAGGCAGAGGTTGCAGTGAGCCAAGATCACGCCATTGCACTCCAGCTTGGGCAACAAGAGCCAAACTCCCTCTCAAAAAAAAAAATATTACTAACTCTGAGAAAACACATGTTGTATAGGGAAGGTAAATAAAGTAAACACATGGAGTCATTATAAACTCTGAAATACTGATGTATCCAAACAACTTACAGTATGAAAATATTGGGAGTACCGGGCAGGGTTAAAATGTGTGTTTGTGCGTGGTTGGGGATAGTGGTAAACCTTTCTTTTTATGTAAAATGAAAAATACCTTAAACTGAAATATCAAGAACACTATAAAAACACTAGTTTCAATTATAGAAGTAAGTATCAAAAGAATGAGTTGAAAGCAGTTGCCTCTAGGCAGCCCGAAATGAGGAAATTTGCAGAGACCTACTATTTTTGTAAATAGAGTCATGTGCCACATAAAGACATTTTTGTCAACAACGAATCACAAATATGACAGTGGTCCCATAAGATTATAATACCATATTTTTACTGTACTTTCTGTATGTTTGCACACACAAAAACTCAGGATGTATTACAACTGCCTACAGTATTCAGTACACATGCTACACAGGTCTCTAGCCTAGGAGCAATAGGCTATGCCATATAGCCTAGGTGTGTAGCAAGCTAAACCATCTAGGTTTGTGCAAGCACACTGTATCATGTTTAAATGATGTCTAATGATACATTTCTCAGAACAGATCCTCATCTTTAAGTGACATGTGACTGTACTTCTGCAGAGCTTAATATTTAACTCCTATAAATATGTGCATGTATTAAATATAACTTTGATAAAAATTAAATTAAAAAAAATCAGCTGAGTCCCCATTATCAAGGACTTTCCTACTGGTTAAAGCTACCTTGATTTAGAATCAAACAGCTATATGTAACTTTGAGCAAGTTACTCAACTTTTTTAAGCCTAGTGTCTTCATGTGTAAAATGGATAATGAAGAATAATAGCTAATACTATCAAACTGCCAAATGAGATAATGTATGTAAACTGGTTAGCATAATGTCCGGCACATACTGTTTACAAATAGTACCTATCATTCAAATTGCAATCAGAGGGTAATAATTATAAAACTGTAAAACAAGTAAATCTTAATCTCCTATGTTTTGGAAAGTAACCCTGGCAGTTGTCGGAAGGATGGTTAGGAAAGGCAAGGCCTCGGAAGCTGAGTGACCAATTAGAAGGTCCACACTGGAGAAAATACAATAATTAGACAAATTATGTGTCTAATTATGTGTCAGAGCCACGGAGAGAAAGATAAGGATATAGAGACGTTTTCTAAGTGGTGAACTATATGTGAGAAAAAGGGAAAGAGAGGAGTCAAAAACTGTTCTAACTTAAGCAAATAAATAGATGGTGATAACACTAACTGAAACAGAACACCAAGAATTGGGTTGCAAGAAGGGAAGGAGAAATAAGCTTGATATTACTATTTTTAATTTGTGAGTCCTATATTACAACCAAGTAGAGATATCTAGCGTGCAAGTGGAAATCTGAATCTAGAAGCGGTCAGGGTTGGAGCTATAAATGTGTAAATCACAATCAAAGGTTGAAGCTATACCAGTAGAACAGATTACTCAAGGCAAATATACAGAGCAAGAGAAGAGGTGAAATATAAAAACTGTGAACACAAAAAAATAACAACACTATGGAAATACCTCCAAAACTACAATCAGATCATGTAAATTTCTGTTTTTGAAAATAATGTTGCAATATCACTGATTTGATAATGGAAACAAGAAAAAAAAATAATGTACATGCTCACTGTTTAAATATGAAAGAAATCTAAATATATCCCAATAATCCAGACATTCAGAAACAACTCTTAATATTTTTATGTATTCCTGCTCATCTTTCAATGCATATAACCCTAAATTGTTCATTTTTTCCTTGACAAAATTAGAATTCTATACAACTCTGCATTCACCTTTGCTTTCACTTCATTAAATGAGCGTTTCCAATATCTAAAATACTGACTTTTATTAGTCACTCCAATTTGTTTAAAACACTGATGAGTATAACTTGGCAAACTTGTCTCTTACTGGTAAGAGAGAGTCAACATCTGAAATTTAAGAAAAAGGCTCATTTTAAAAGAATCACTAAAATCAAGAATGACAATTGTAGCACATTTCCTCAAGTAATTTAATTAGAAATAAAATTAAAAGAACATGCATTTGATGTGTTCTATAATAGATACTGATGAATGGATTTTATAATAAGTCAGACAACAGAAGTAAAAAACAAGTTGTTTTTGCTATCAGTGTGTCCTATATGTACTATGAGGTTGCAGTAGAGCTCAAATGAGTTAATACAAAGCACAACCAACAGTATCTGGCATATACATAAATGCTAAAAAAAATACTGGTTATTACTATCATCATCATCATTAGATGCCAAAAGCGGTTCCAGACAGAAGCAGTAATTGCATGAAAGAGAGGACAAAAAAATTCAGAGACAAAGAATTTATATTTCTACTCTTTTTCTTTCATTTTTTCCATTTCCTCTGGATTTAGAGTCCATGAGCACTACTTTAAGTACTGCAGTTTAAGTATTACTTCTAACGCC